ATATAGGGAGTTAATGGGTAACTAAGACTTGTTATGATGTGCCAATAATAGCAGGCTCTCAAGTCCTAAGAGCTGGCATAACTCAAAGGCCTACATTGTCTTAAGATGTGGTCACAGGTTCTCTGTAAGTCCCAGACAGTTTGAGTTGAAATGCACCCTTAGTGACCATTCCTAAAGAACCTCATTTTTTTTTTTTAAAGATCATTTCCGATCTAAACTTTTTTCATTTACCATTCTCTGCTCTGATCACCATCCGCTTTCACTCACTGGATCAGTATTCACCAGCACCTGATCAGGACCAGATACCATTCTAGCAATGACCTGGGCCACAGCTTACTGTGGATGTAGAGTTCCGAGGAGCAGGGCAGTGGTGAGAACCGAACACCAGGAGAACTCAGAATAAGGCCACATAGCTTCTGAAGAAGATGTCACAGAGAAGTTGCCTTGTGCCCTGAAATCTTGAAGGTATCAGTTCACCAGGAAACAGTGGATGGACAAGGGAGTCCACAGGCCCCTTACAGGTGAATGGGCACCAGCTGAGCATGGAGGAAGTGACTTCCTGCTTCCTGGGGAAGCAGAGGCAGGCCCCTGTGTATCTTTAGTTCCGTTAAGAACATACCAGAATGTATGTGCCTTCCAGAGATCAGAGCCTGTCTACCAGTGGTATCCTCAATACAGAACCTCCCTCCTCTGTGAGGGCTGAAGAAGGAACCCCACCTCTTCATTTCTGGATTCATCAGAGGTCACACTCCAGGACCCTATACGCTCACGTGCATGTGTGTGTGTGTGTGTGTGTGTGTGTGTATATACATGTATGTATCTATGTATATGTGTATTATATATTTAAACAACAACTATGGATTGGGTGGGATGTAGCTTAGTTCACTAGCACTTGCTCAGCACGAACAAAGCCCCGAGTTTAATCCCCAGCACTATATATCTATAATCCCAGTACTTAAGAGAGACACAGAAGGGAGCATCTGGAGTTCAAATTCATCCTTGGGTGCATAGCCAGTTCTAGGCCAGCCAGGGATACCTGAAACCCTGTCTCAAAAACAAACAAACAAACAAACAATCAAAGCCACAGTATCCTGTATCATGGTCTTTCATTCATGATGATAGTGGCCTGAGCCAAGAATTGGAGGCCTTTTTCCGACAAGGTTTGAGCTCACTCTCCAAGCCCCCTCCAGCCTCTCTACCCAGCTGTTCTCACTCATTTACTGCCTGATGTCCATCAGAGTTTAAACACCCTCGCCCTGAGCCTGGTAAATAAAGCAGCACTTATTCTAACCCGCCCAGCTGTTACTGCCTCTTATCTGATATACTCCAGACAGCCTGTCCGGCTTACTGGACAAGGGTTGAACTAAGGCCCTCCCTTGTTTGTGGGAATGAGGGTGGCAAGTGGCAGGGCCAGGTTTCTGCTGGGAAAAAAATAACTTGGAGCTTCTGGGGAACCAGGCTATCAAAGCAGGGGAAAGGCTATGCATTCAGGGCAGAGTCCGGGCCTGGCAGCCTCTTAGACCGAACTGAAATGGTTTCTCTGCCAGCTCTGCAAAGAAATAGTGTGGAAACAAAGCCAGAGAGCTCAGGCTTGCCCTTCTCACTTTCCCCTCTTATTCTCTTCTGGGAAGGGAGAGCATGTGGGTGTGAATCCACAGACAGGCAAAGCTGCTATTGGAGAACCCCTTCCACTGTATGTGTGAATTAGCACGTAGGTGGTTTGGTATTAATCCACAAGCAGGCCCATAGAGCCAACATGGTCACGAGCCTGGAAAGTGGCAAGGACACCATGTATTTTCCACAAGGATACCAGAGGTCGTTTAATCAGTGTTCCTGCTTTCATATGACTCACAAAGGCTCTAGGAGCAGGAGGGTTTTCAAACAGAGGATGGAGGGAAGGGGACACATGACTGTATCAACTGCAACCATTCCTTAGGATAATAGCAGATTCACTTACTTTGATACTGACTTCAAGACCACTCGGGATGAGATTAGCTTCCATTAGTAACGGCAATTTTTATTCACTGAATACTGGAACTAGTCTAAGTTACAGATAGGTTGCATCTCATCTTTGTGACTTGTTGAAATCGGTTGCATTTGAAATCCCACTCCATACCTGAGGAAACAAAATTAGTGCTGGCCATTGGCCCCAGGTTGTCCACTCAGTAGACAGGGAGTAGAGTAGAGTAGACCTGAAAACGGACCTCCTCAGGACACCTGGCACTTATGCCTTCATTCTCACCTTCCTTGTATGGCCACCTCATTGTCTTTGGGAATGGAAACCTAATCAAGCAGGAGTCTGATGCAAGCAGGAGATGAACTCCTGACTCCATTCCCACCTAAATGACCTTTCAGTTCAATTAGTTGTAAAGAATGGTAGTAATGGTTCTCATTTGCTCTCCAGTGTTTGCCAATGATGAGGGTGGTTTAGAGTAAGACTGCGAAAAGAACAGGGGCATTTAGGGGACATTTAATCCACTACTCACAAATATACCTATTCTCTCCTGACTCTCTCTCTCTCTCCCCCCTCCCTCCCTTCTTTCCTTCCTCTCTCCAATTTCTCACCTCTCTCCATCTCTTTTCCTTTCTGAGACAAAATCTTACTCTGTAGTCCAGGCTAGCCTCACACTCACAGTTATCCTTCTGCCTCATCATTCCAAGACTAGGATTATAAGCATAAGCCACCATGCTCAGCTCACTCTGCTGATTTCTAAGACAGGAAAAACTGTGTGATTTTTTCCAAACTTTCCCAGCTACTGCCAGACAAGAACCAAGATTGTAAACCATATGTTTTCCCTCTTAACCACAAACTCTATTGCAAAACTTTCATGGGGTCAGGAAGGCTAGCGTTGACCTGGGAACCAGGGCTCTTGAGTCCTCAGTATCCTTGCTAACCAAAGGCTGCTACAGGAGCCAATGCCAGACCCACAGAAGTGGTTTCTTCCTCCTGGGGCTTGTTTTTGGCAGCATCAAGGGCTCCTCCACCCAAACCTTATCAGAAGCCAAGATGGGCTCTTAATCTACAGCTGCCAGCGCCTTGCCCAGACTGTCTGGGGAGGGACATTATCATCCCCAAACAGCTGACCATGCACAGAACTCCAACTAAGCCACAGGGAAGCTGAAAGCTTAGTTTCTGAGCCAGGAAAAACAACTATCTGTTACTCCATCCAGAGCCCCAAGACCCCCAGCAGCCAGTAAGTGTTCTCTGCTTTTACTGACACTGGCCCGGTCTAAAAGAAGTGACATCTTCCTGGATCACAAAACCCTCTGTATAAATGGAGTGGACATGATTAGCCTACCAAGACCCAAAAGCAACTTCAAGATAAACCTGCCATCCTGTGGTTTCCCTGACAAAGACAAGATTGACCTGTCCCCTTGGCTGCCAGACAATCCTTCCTGAGTTTCATTCAGCCTTCCACTAAACAATGAAACATGCTATAAGATTATGGCCTTGTAGGAAGCAAGAAGATTGATATTAACTATTTGAACTGAAAAACCTAATAGAACTTCAAGGTAGCACAAACATTCATAGACCCTAACCCCGTCCTTGCATCCAGAGAGGGACAAATGAAAATTGGGCTATTGACCCCTGACATAAGTAGGTTCCAATATACCCAATTCTGTTCGTGGCACAGACACCCTGACTTTCCCAGCCCAGGCGCACCATACAGACATATGCACACAGCTTCCCCGGCCTAACCCTGACCAAGAACACCCAGAACAAACTGCGTTTGTGTACAAAGTCGTGGACAGTGAGCTGAAATGAGGATATGTGATTATTTTCTGAATATCTCTTTTGGCCACAAAAATCATCTACTATGGGGCAAAAAATGTGCCTGTAGCTTTAGTGGGGAGCTGAGTCTGAACCAAAATTCTAGGAAAGAACCCCCAAATCAAGCATGACAAATTATCGTTCCTGCTTAGACCCTCTCCATGTGGTCAAAGGTGTTTATAAATGAGTAACGCTTTATACGTTCATGGTTCTCACGCCGTGTGCTCTCAGAAATAACTGCTCTCTAGCTAACTGTGCCATTGGGCAATCAGCCATGTGTGGCCCCAGTGGCTCAACTGCTCTTGTCTAACAAGGCAAGAAGAATGGCAGTTAACAAATGGCAGCCACGGTGACAAGACAAGAGTCTTTCCTAGGAATGGCACGCAGTCCTGCCTCCACAGCCTCTGCTCACCACCAGTGGCCTGGGAAAAGCGGGGCACGTTTTAGTTATTTTTAATATTCATTAACAACATAGTCGAGTCTGCAGGCCCCTGCATGGGAATGGTTCTGTGATCATTGTAGATGCTCAAGTCTCCTCTATAAAATGGCTTAGCTGTCTTCAGTTGAGCACCCTCCTCCCATGTACTTCAAATCGTAAAATTTTTTCCAATGCCTAACGCATGGGAAATAGTAGCTAAACTAGACTGTTTCCGGAATGGCAAGAAAGAGTCTGCACATGTCCAGTGAAGATCTGCCCCTAACACTGGCGCCCATGAACCGGATGTGAAACAAACCATGCTCAAATGAGGTCCTGTGGGATGCCAGGAGGGACATCAGAGTGTGTTTGTGTGTGCCACAGTCGCACCGCGTGCTTAGTGTGTGCCAAATAAAAATTTTGGGTTTTACAACTTTTTGATTTTGTTCTTTCTTTGCGTAATTCCCAGTCATGGTTGGCTGCTTCCACAGACGTGGACGCAGAAGGCCAGCTTTACCAGTGTGCTGGATGACTAAGAATGAAACCATGGAACAGGCTGCAGAATATTCAGATAGCATATTTTTAGAGACCCGTGAGAATATTCACAAAAGGACAGAAGTAGGGAGCTGCCTCCTAGGGAAAGGGGGACACGTGGAAATGACCTCACCACAAACCTAGGTAATCTTTTATAACATTTGCATGCTACAGATGGACCTAGGGCAACTGATGAAATACCACAAAACACAAAGAAAGGGTTTGGTGCTGAGGAGGATGCCAGTCAGCAGTATGGAATTTTACCTTCTCTACACAATACATGATCTGCTACAATTTTATTAAAAACAAAATGTGTACATTTGCCCACAAATCTGTACAGTCTTCCATATAAAAACTATTATACAATTAGTAACCTTTGTCTTTCCTGTCAGAATAGCTTACAAACTTCCCACTATTGCTTATTTTTCCTTAAAAAGAGACAGGCCCGCTCAACAGTCCAGCTATAGGGGGGTTGTCATTTTTAAAGTGAACATTGACAGGAAAGAACAGATTTAGGCATGAGACCAGGAGGTTGCGTCTAAAATGGCAGGGACCTGTGTGTGGACAAGACAGCAGAACCATCTGCAGCGATTCACAGCTTTGTTTCAACCCACGGCGCTCGCTCGGGGCTGTGGGCCCAGAGTTAACTTTAAAGCGAGAGAGACCAAGCTGCCCGGGAAGGCTGGGTGACGCTGGGGGGTGCCAAAGCAGCATGGGCAGAGTGTTTGGTAAATAGCACCTTCGAGCAGAAGCTGAGGAGTTGAGAAATTCGGGAGATGGGATGCTGTGGTGGTGGAGAGAAACGGTGCGGGGGGGGGGGGCTCCTCACTAAGGATGACTGGCTGGCTTTAACTCTGTCCTTTAGTTTGGGAGACATTCCGAGGGCCCCTCGTCAGTGTCACGGATGGAAGGAAACCTGAAGGAAAGCCGTATCCTCCCAGTGTTTTCCAATTTTCTCCAACCCAAACCAGTAAATATTGCACACATCTACAGATAAATTTGGATTTTACTGAGAGACAACCTCCCCCACAGGTGCTCTGAGCACCAAGGAGATAAAGCTCTTCCCAAGGTTGGGCTCTTAGTGGCAGCCATTCAAGAATACCAGGTAGTCCTGCAGGGCACAGTCACTCTCCCTGAGGCCCATCAGCCAGTCAGAACCCCCAGGAGAATGGGAAAGGTGGGTCCCTAAAGCCCACCAGGGTACCAGGAAGGGCTGGGAGGCCCAGTCTTAGAGTTTCCTGGGACTATTGCACAGTGAATGAGAACTCTTGTCCTAGGAAATAGGGCCGTCCAGGACCCAACCACAGGAAAGAGGGGAAAGGGAGAAATGGGGGAGGTTGCTCTTGAAGAGAAGGCAGTAAGAAAAAACCTGGAGTTCCCTGGAGCTTTGAGCCACCTCGTAAAGGAATAATGGTAGCAGCATTCGATCTTTCATGTGGTTCCTAAAAGGAGGGTTTAAGTAAAAACAAAACAAAACCAAAAGAAAACAAACAAAAACAAAAAAACCCACCCACATTGGATACTCTTTGGGTCCCAAAATTCCATTGCAAATCATCCCTAAATTATTCACCATCCATCCATCCAAAGCAGCACAGAGCAAAGCAAAGGTTTTGTGCAGTTCCCCTCCATCTTAGCCCCAAAGTCTTTGCACACCTGTCTTACATCCCACCCTCCAAAAATGTTCAGATAGATTCCTGGTGGGGAACCAACCTCTTCAGGCCCCTGAGGGTAGAATAAAAAATGAGAAAATGAGAAAATATAAAATAAAAAATAAAAAATGAGAAAGCCTGCTTAGAACAGAAGGAACAAGGAAGAGGTCTTTCACTCTGCCCAGGATCTCAGCAGAAAAACAAAAGAGAAGATTAGGCAATGTAGTATTATTTAAGACCAGGCTTGAATGCCCCTGAGTAAGAGAGGAACCAGGCATCCAGGCATCCAGGCTAGGATGGTAACCCAGGGCAGATCCTGACCCCTCTCATTCACAGTTGCTAACCTTGCTTGCTCCCTTTCACCACCTCCTGGGGGATCAGCCAAGAATCCTCCTATACCTTGGCTAGGCCAATCCCCAAACCATTCCCCTAGGCAAACACTGGCTCACAGACTCAATAACAGTTCTCTCCAAAGGCACCTGGGGAGGCCACTTCCAAGCAGCTCCCTTTACGGATTTTTTTTTTCTTTAAAAAAAAAAATCTTTTGGTTTTTTTTTCCTCCTCTTTTCTTAAAAAAAAAAAAAAATAACACGTATAAATAGCTCTTCATTTTAAAAATACAGTTCCCCAGGTTGAGGTATACGGTGGCCTGTTGTCACGGCAGCATGAGTACAGTAGAGTGCCGGGGTAGATTGGCTCCTGTCTAGCTGGAGACAGCCATGACATAGTTCTTGGAGGGGCTGCTCCTGCCCAGTAGCATTTGGTTCTTGCAGGTGAGGAGCCCATAGGAGGCCGCCATGGGGGCCTCCTCATACAGGACACAGATGGAACCATCCTCCCCAATGCGGTAGGACACTTCATATGGATCCACCCACAGGGTCAGCTCGCTGGGCAGCAGCCGGTGCAGCTGGGGCTGGCTGAGTCCAATCTGGCTGGCCACCTTGGTAATGATGGGGTCCATCTTGTGGTTGATGCGGATACAGCGATAGCCGGAGCCTTTGGAGGGTTTTTCTGGAAACCAGTGGTGTTTGTAATGATCTGTGGAAGAACAAGAGGGAGATGCCTGGTTAGAAAGCATTGTCTTGTTGTTTACCACAAGGTGAGGATGAGGGCAGAGGGCTGGGGAGAAGGGGCATGACTCAGAGACTGTATTTAAAAGAGCCTCTCCTTAAACTCTCCCTGCCACTTAGAAAGATCCCTGGGCCCTTTCCAAATGTGTGTAAATTGGAAGGCAGCTCCAAAGCTTTCAGGTAGGTGCTCTCTGGTGGGCACAAGTATTTTTGGTACAATCCTGCTTAAGGACTGAAGCTAGGGCTAATACAAACGGGCAGGGCTGTGAAGTCAGGCACTGGCATTTCAAAGCAGTAAGAGGCCAGCAGCAAGAGGTCCCCAGGCCTCTCATCCCTCCCCCAGCAGAAGAGTTATGAGATCTTTAGTAAAGGTAAGGGAGTAAAAATGGTTTTGTTTTGATGAAACAGCTGTTGGTCCTCAGATGTGTGCCAACGTGTTGAGAGATTGGCTATAGCTGCCCAAGGCTATAACAGCTGGGGACAGAGGCGAAAGGGCGGCTTATCACTTCTCCACCTCTTTGCCTCACACCCTGTCTCCGTAACATGCACCCCCCACCCCCACTCCCAGCAGCTGACTAGGCTACTGGGCTCTTTTCTGAACTACAATAGGTGGCAGATGGTAAAGAGGGACCAAAAAGAAAAAATACAAAGGCGGCCCGGATTACAACTTCCAGCGGGTAAACAAGCGGCAGAGTGGCCCTCACCACGGCTGGCCCAGGACTACAGCAACAGTAGGTTGGACTCAAAGTTGTCCAGAAAGTTCAATTGCGCACAGAGTCGCATAGTTTAGCTCGGTTCTGTGGCCGATAGCATCCCCCGAGGCTCTGAAGGTTTCCAAGGCTCAGAGAAAGAGGTAAGCTTTCATTCTGAGCGCAGACAGTGGCTTTTCCCGTGGTGTTGTCCCAAGGAAGAGGGCCAGGGCCCCGGGAGTGAGGTGGGGACTGGAGGGTGGGAGACGGAGACCTAGCCCGAGGGACAGAGGTCCACCAGCGGTCTCGGATATTAGAGCAAGGCATCTGAGACCCGGAGCTGCCCGCATAGGGGTCCCCGTCCCAGAAACAGTGAGGAAAGACACCCCAGGCAAGGAGGGACCGCACCCCTGTGGCTCCGGAACCCCGACGTGTGCTCACCGGTCAGTGCGTCCTGGAGTGCCCTGCTGAAAACCTTGAGTCTCTGCTCGCTCACGCAGCCCCGCGTCCTCAGGAGACTGGAGAGGAAGCCCACGGCGGCGGCGATCTCCGGGAGCATGTCGGTTCTCTTCCCGTGGCTCATACCAGGAGGCTGGGGAAGTCCTCCTACTAGGATGCGGGTGGTCCAGCCGCCACTCGGGCTCTGCCCGGACTTTCCCCGGGCTGCGCCTTTCATAGCGTTCGCGGAGGCGGGGAGCCGCCGCCGGCGTCTATTGGCCGAGGCTGGAAGATGGAGGCGTGTTGTCCCGCTGCCCCGCCTCTCCCTCCTCCGCCCGCGCCCACTCCCGCCCGCTCGCAGGTTCGCCCGCGCCTCCTCGGCGCTGAGGTCATCGCTCACTGACGTCAGTATTGGGAACGAGCGCGGGACTCACGAGCAGTGGGAGGCGGGAGGGAGGGTGCCCAGGACCTGGACAGAGGAAGCGAGCTACGCCGGGCATGCCCGGACGTGGCCTCTGCTCAGTGCCAAGGCCTGGGTTGCCGGACGCCTCCTCCAGGATGCCCACCTCCAGGATGCTACTTCTCCCACGCCGCCCAACACACTGACCGAGCCGTCGTTCACCCTGGCTCCTGGTCATCTTTGTCACTCTCTCCGAACTAGCAGAACGGGCTCCTCGTACTTTCGGCAATGGGGATTGTATTCTACTTGCTTTCATAATAATTCCACCTTCCCCCAACACTGTTTGGTGTCGCGGTGGGAGGAGTGTCGAGGAGAGCATTTTCTGTCAGTTGGGTGATTTTTCCAGTTCTCACTTCCCTTTAACATTTTTAAAGTAGTCTGGTGTGAACTGTACAAAGTTTTCCCTCAGCTCCCTGCTCCTCCCTCTTCCCTGATTCGCCTTCCTTCCTCTTGGTGGACTGAGGCTTTTGTAAACACTAGCTCCCCAGAGGAAAGGTTTCAAGGCTTTGGCCGGCTCCGGGACCAGGAAGCTAGGCAGACTACTGAGTAGGGCAACATGTCAGCCATACCTCTGAGCCCACGACAACCCATGGCTGTTCATGCAGCCAGCCCATGTCTGTTCCATGGACTTAGCTCCGTGGCTTGTGTAAAATCCTGTTTTCCTTGAGTTCTAAGCCACCTTCAAAAAACACCCTAGGCCTCTCTTCCTATCCCCCTGCCTGAGCCATCAGCTTCCCTGCCTGGGTCCTTTGGCCCATTCCCATGCCATGTCCCTCTTCCCTTTTCTCTCCACTTTCTATCCTCCAGCTGTCTCTTGTGTCTCTTTTATTTTTCTTCAATGGACTTCCACATCAATGGGTCCCTCTTCTCTGCAGCATTCTCCCCTGGGAATGTCTATGCCTTCTCTAAAGCTACCTCCTCTCTGGTACCCCTCTCAGGCAAAGCTACTGATCACAGGCCCCTACAGGACTCAGACTCTCAGCTTCTTCAGACCTAGTCCCAGGACTGATGGCTTCCTTACACCGAACTGGGTTCCCCAAACCACCTTCCTGGGCATTAGCAGAGTCCTTTTGCTAAAGTATCGCATCTGTTCCCTCTTCCCTTGCTCAGACTCCCTGAGACAAGGCCTCCACTTGCCGGGCGGTTGCGACATTCCGTCGTTTTGAATCACCCACCTTTGTAGGATTCTACGGCTTTGCATTGCAGGGTCTCCTCTCCACCGGCTTCGAAATACCACGGCAGCTCTGCCACCTAGGTCCTAAACACTTTCCCACTATTACTATCTCTGTAACATGGCCCTCACCTCCACTCCCCTGGCCTGGCGGCACCATGGCTTTAACCAGGAGTATCTCACTTACCACTTGGCCACCAATTCATACCCCCACCCCAAGATTCCTGAAGCTTCAACTTGAAAATACCTGCTGACCGTCCCCTCCAATGCTGAACTGAGCTTCTTCACTGCCCTCCTTTGGGGCTGGTTAGAGTAGAAGAGATGATTGCTGCGTTTTATTAAGGAAAAGTATTAGTTTTTAACAGGAAACAGGGCTGATCTTGGAGAAAGATAACCTAGATGCAATGAACCAGAGACCAGGTGTCAGCAAGGCCAGAAGTGACCAAGGCTGACTAGCAAGGAAGTCAGCAGAACAGGTCAAAGCACACAAGCCTGTGCTGGCTTGTTCAGTGCCTAAATTAGACACTTGACCATCATCTTCCAGTGATGATGAAAAAAAAAGAGCTTTCAGCAAGCCAGACAAAGCATCAACTTTGTTTTTCTTTAAATCAGACTTGCCCTTACGTAAACATTCACATCTCTCAACGGGCTATGCAGTGACCTCTCAGTAGAGCCAGGACAGGACATGGCTTGCAGATTACAAACGTGGTACTCTTTTCCATAGATTCCCTAGTTCCTGGGCTACTGCTGCCCTGGCCACAGACCCTGAAAGTGATGCAGTGATTACAGATAAAGAGCCCAGATGTGAGGGTAGAAGCAGGCAGGTAAGGCAGCCCCAACCTGAAATCAATCCTGAGGCTGGGTATGGTAGCAAAAACCTTTAAATCATAGTACTTGAGAAGCAGAGGCCAGCCTGTTCTACCCAGTGAGTTTCAGGCCAGCCAGAGCTACACAGTGAGACCATGTTTCAAGACGGACAATTCTAGAACTGAAATCCTATTTGGGTTTCAGTTAGCCAAGTGTGTTTCTGCAAACACCATAGCATCCCGGTTTCACCCTGGTAATAGTGAGCTGAACTCTACAAGAGTCCAGAGGCGGACCTCCTCCTTCCCTGCTCGTCTTCTACTCCTAAGCCTGTAAAGAAGGAACTTCATTATCACCATGCAGAATCATCATCTGGAATCAGGATCTGGGCTTGTTTGTTTCTTTCCTTCTTTGTTTTGAAACAGGGTTTCACTATGCAGTACTGGCTAGCCTGGAACTCTTAGGTAGACCAGGCTGGCCTCTGTCTTTCTGAGTGCTGGAATTAAAAGTGTTTGTTACCACTTCCAGCCTAAGGATTGATTTCTGATGACATTAAGTAAGTTACATTAGTCCTGATTTTCTTTTTAAATTTTTTGGAACTGCCCTCAAGTTGATAATAGCACACACCTTAGTCCCAGCACTGAGGAAACAGAGGCAGGCAGATATCTGTGAGTTCAAGGCCAGCCTGGTATACATAGAAGGTTTTGGGCCTCCTAGGGCTATATCGTGAGATCTGGTCTCAAACAACATCAACAAAAACAAACCAAAGATGGGAAAAGCCACATAAGTAGATGGGAGCTTATAGAAGCTTCAAAGTAAAGGCCCTTTCCTTTAATGCCACCCTTTGCCTCCTGCCCCTGGAGTGTTTTGGACATCAGGATAAGGAGAGTGGTTTCCTCTCTGCCTCACCCTCCCTTCCTCCTTCCATTCTTGCTCCTTTTCTCCTTCCTTCTTTTATTTCTTCTTCTACCTCTGTCCATGGATTAGATGGTGGGCATTAAATAATGCTGACACACTGTGCTGAAGTCACTGGTGCCTGTGATAGCAGGGTAAGTATGGCCTTCAGTCTATGCTTTATCTGCACCAGAAACTTCAGTGCCATGTGACCCCAGACCTTCTTTTCCTCTGATCTTGGTTGACCATTCCATCCATCTGTCTGGCCTACCTGTGTGGTCCATTGGAGAATGATGTAGCATTCTAAACTGCCCTCCTTAGACCAAACCAAGGGACTGGCTCCTTCTGTCCTGGCCTTGTCTGTGGGGAGATCATACAACTTGCTCTCTCCACTTGCTAGTTAGGCATACAGTTCTGTGGGGGTCTTGAGGATTGGGCTTGGTTGTCAAGGTTACCTCTCGGTTCTGACCACATGTAGAAACCTGAGGTCAGCCTGGTGGCTCTGCTGGCAGAGGCCGGGCTCAGCTATTCTTGGAGAATGACTTCAGCTCCCTCCCACACAGCACTATGTGTGATTTCTGTTGGTCTTGCTGTGTATCGGTGTGAGTGGGAGGGTGGTGCATATATATATGAGTGAGTGTACGTCCTAAAGTGTGTGCGTGAGCTGGAGTTGGTGGGAGTGAGGGAGGCTGGAGTTACTGTGTCCTGGTGTCTGGTGAAGCCTGCTTTCTGAGAGGGTCGGAGGGGGGCTGGTTTGCCTGTGTGTAGCGCGCAGATGCTAATTTGATCTCTCCACTTTTCCCGACATCACTAGCACCTTGCAGTGCTGCCCAGAGCTGATAAGACACATCATCAGGGTGGGCCAGCTACCTCTCCACCCCTCCCTAAGCAGAACGGAAGTACTGATGAGTCCTTCCACTCCTCTCTGCAAAGGGGGCTCCCTGTCCTCTCATGCCGCTGTGCCCAAGGCCAGCTCTAGGCCACCAGCTTGGTGTTAACTCTTCACAGTCAAGAACAGTAATTCACAACAGAAGAAAATATCCTTGTCACCAAACCCTCCTCACGGGGCATGGGACTGAAGATGTGAGCTCTGTTTGAAATTCCTGTCTTTCAACCTCTCCCCTGACCCAGAAGTAAACTGGGAGTAGGGGTGGACACAGACAGTGCACCGACTGTTAGGGGTGGGAGTGAGCAGAACTCGGCCCATCCGACTAAAGGAAGCCGAGGGAAATGCAAGCAAGAAAAGGGTTTTTTCATTTGGGGGCTATAACATATTTGAAACCCTGGAGGACCATTTTTTACAACGTGTTTAGGGCTGGAGAAGAGTCTGGGAGCTAGAAAGTAACCTGCTCCTTTATTTGTTCTGAAGATAGAAGCCGAGAAGGGACCCAGCTGTGCAAGAATGCTTAAGCCAGGCAGCTTCATGAGAGGAAAGCCACCATCCAGGCTGTTCTTGCAGTGGACGCCTGCTCCCGCCAAGACCCACACCTGGGCATGAGCGAGAAAAAATCCAGCCACAAAAAAAAAAAAAAAAAAAAAAAAGGCCAGGTGAAGGAGGCATTTCATCTTCAAAGTAACCAGAAAGCTGGAAGGTTTCAAGCTCAGCTGCTGCCTGTAGGGTTTCCAGATGCTGAATAGAAATAGACATGGCAGGTGTGGGCTTCCATTGCTGTCCCAGCCTGGGAGCCTTGCTAAGACATGGGCAAAACTGTGAGTCCAAAAAGGCCATGGCTCTCTACAGTATGCTTCTCTGGGTTTTTCCCTGACTGGCTCATCCTCTCTACCCTCTCCGCCATGAGGTCACTTGCAGAGGTTACAGGAAGCTAACCTGGATGCTAACCCTCAGTCTGTGTTCGTTATTTCTGT